CCCCCCCCCCCCCCCCCCCCCCCCCCCCCCCCCCCCCCCCCCCCCCCCCCCCCCCCCCCCCCCCCCCCCCCCCCCCCCCCCCCCCCCCCCCCCCCCCCCCCCCTTAAATGCAATGAGTCTTCAGATTTTTTTTGAACAATATGTTTTGTCGTATACACATTTTCTACAAAAGGAGATGTTTTGCAAATCTCACGAGAGAACCTTTCCAGATGTCCAACCGCTTTTCTAAAGAAATGCGGTAGTTTATAGGTAATCGACCATGTTGATTCCGAAATACTATAGCCATTTTTGCCCATAGGCCTCTCCTAACCGGTTTGTGGAAAACCAGTTTTCCACAAACCTCGAAAAATCCCCAAGAGTTTTTCTAAATAAGTCACAGCTGTAGTCCGCGAAATTCTGATTAAAATGAGACATCTCCCAGCTCTCTCTACACGACCTTTCTTTGCAAAGTTACAGAATTTACAAGAAAAGCCCTAAATGTTTTTATTGTCATCTCAGAGCTACAGAAAGAAGAAGGAAAGATAAATAAAAGCCACTTTTCCTAAAACCGGTTAGGAAAGGCCTATGGGCAAAAAAACTATCATATACGGAATCAGCATGGTCGATTACCTATCAACTACCGCATTTCATCAGAAAAGCAGTCGGACGCCTGGAAAGGTTCCCTTGTGAGAGACTGAATAACCGAGTTATAGCAGCTTTTTTTGAATGCACAAACACTAGCTTTAGAACTGGCGCTTACCTAACTGCTTTATGCTTCTAATGGTCATCGCCTTCTACTTTAGACTTGGTCTTTGCCATGGACTGTACAGGTAAGCTCTTTTATAAAGATGCGCCATGCCAGAATCACTGCACCATGTCATTCTATAGGTTCAATGGGCTCTTATATTGACAGTGCCACGAAAAATATTCGTAGTATCGTTGAGGAGATTGTTATTAGTGAAAAGTCAGATGTGAAATTAGCTTTGGTGGAGTACCGTGATCATCCGCCACAGGACCAAACCTTTGTCACGCGTGTGCATGATTTTACAGCAAGTGTAAAAGAAATGAAAGGATGGTTAGAGCAATGTAGTGCCCAAGGAGGCGGGGATGCTCCAGAAGCCGTAGCCGGTAAGTTCAAATGCATAAACCTTGAACGATAACTGTTTCTCTTCTTTTCAGATGCTATGCATGATGTGTTGCAACTCTCCTGGAGAAATGAAGCGACAAAAATTTGTATTCTCATCTCAGATGCACCTCCTCATGGATTTGAAGTTTTTCCTGTATTACGCAGTAGACATTGATATAATAAGCCTTGTTTTCTTATGAACTATGCGGTATCCGAATGGATCCTAGACCCAAATGGTGATGGCTTTCCTAATGGTAGGCAGTAGAATCGTCTCAACCGCTATACTAAAAAAATGCCAGAAGGACGGTGGAATCGCTTTTTGCGCTGTCTGACACCTTCTGTCTGGATGAATTTTGTCTGTGATAATACTCACTCTAAACTTGACAGCTTTCTACTAATCAGGTCCTGTTACTTGGATGGAAAATTAAGATACAGAAAAGGATCTCAAAAATGTTTTCTTTATGCTGCCCCTGCGAAGTTGTGCAGATGATCAAGGGCGAAACGCTTGGCTTTAGAATTTTAGACTTTTGCAGTTTTTATTGAACTTAGGTGAACTTTGATGAACTTTTGCAGTCTGTCAAAGTCTAAAATCCATGGACTTTGAACCTTAATAGACTTTAGCAGTTCATGTAAGAAGCCAATAAAAACTATAATAGTCCAAAAGTCTAAAGTCTGCTATTTTCGCCTGACAGATATAGAGCGTGGAAGGATAAACAACGAACTTCTTATCAGAATTGTGCACCTGTAATGCGTTTCGCTAATCCAGTCGATTATCTAGCACAGGGGTCAGTCTCAAAGATTCAGCCACCTACTGTACCTTGTTTTCATTCCAATGCAAGAATTTGTTCGAGTTCGTCTAAAAGTCAAGAAAAGTTGCAACACTTTTTCGTGGAACTTCTAGCGAAGAGAAACATGTTCAATTGTCTGATGGCGGAAGAAAGTAAGAGTCTCGAGGAGTGAGAATGAGTCAACAGAGAATGAGCCCTATACAACTTCTTCGGATTCTTTTCCAGAGCCTTTCATAGCTTCGGTGCTCATTTTTCTGCTGCTACTACAGGAAAACGCCATAAAGCTATAAAGAAACTGCTTTTACCTTGAGGACGGATGACGATAAGAGCCAAAATCGGCCCACGTCCAAATTCGTCTTATGTTAACTAATCTGATGCAGTTTTCTCCGCCAACAACGCTAACATATTTTTAGACCTTAAAAATCCGTTTCAGCCCCGCTGGGAATATTTCAGCAAAAAAAACTCTTCTCGCGTTAAACAACCTTCACTCAAACTATTTACATCATTCCATCTCTTTCAGCGAGATCAAAAGTCAGCTATTATACATCGTTCCATAGAGAATTTCACGGGCTACAAAATGATCTGCAAAGCAGTCTTAAGAAGGTGTAACTGGGTAGTCTAGCCTCCGAAATACTCGGTAGCATCTCAGCAAACCGCTCGGTCAACGTCGTTCGTCTCTATAATAGTGACTAACCTTCCCGTTAACCACTCTACTTTATATATCATTCAAAGAGCATTTCATAGGCTTCAAAATGATGTATAAAATAATCTTAAGAAAGTGTAACTGGGTAGTTTAGGCTCCGAAATAATCGGTGGCATCTCAGCAAACCCGTAGGTCACCGTCGTTCATGTTTATAATATCCATTGGATTGCGCCACTTTATATGTCATCCGATAGAAAATTCTACGAGCTTCATTTTGAAGCTCGTAAAATTCTTTATAAAATTAATAAGTCTTTTAAAAATATGTCCACATTGGTAAATAGGTGTGTCAAGAAGGTGGCGTGATGTAAGTAGTTTGAGTAAAGGTCGTTTTACTGAAGAAGAGTTTTTTTGGTTAAAATGTTTTCAGAGATGCTGAAAAGTTTAATTTTTTTTAAACAAGAAGTTAAAGTACTTCAAGTACTTCAACTTTTTGTCAAGTCCTTTGCGAAGCACTTTTCCAAGTAACCCCCAAATACCTGTGGGATGTTCAACAAGTAAATCAAGTGCTTGGTGAATGCTATCAGGCATTTCTCAAGTGTTATTTTTTGAATATACTTGTCAAGTGCTTGACAAGTACCCATGGAAATGTGCAAGTAAACAAGTACCCACTCGCAAGTACATTCACTAGGGCACTGTTAAAAATATGTACACTATAGTGTTCATATTTTTTGCGGCGTAAGAGAGTTTGAGAGACAAACTCGAGAAAGGAAATGTATGCCTCCACCGAGAATCGAACCCACACTGTAAAAAATAAAGTGTGTTACTAGATATGTAAAGCTTCTAAACGTTTACTCGGCATCGAAAATGTGTATCTTTTCTAGATGGTCAATCTCAGTGTGTAAAAGAGCTAGATATGTTAAAAATATTTCTTATTTTCCATTTTTCTCCCAAACTACTGCATCGAATGAAAAAATAATTTCAGAATCATGATCGCCATCTTCCAAAGTATAGATGTTGTTATTTCCAGCAAAAACGGATAAGAAAAAAACCTGAAAAAGAAATTTCGTCATATGTTAGATTTGAACAATCGATTGATGAATCTGAGACATTTCCAACACAGATAGTTTAGACAAGTAGACAATATCATTGGTCTCAGTATGTAGAGCCAGACGGTCACTTCTCAGTGTATACTTTACACACCTACGCCCGGCATTCTCGACTGGGAATCGACTTGTTTCACTTTATGTGCGTCATTTACACATTTTATTTTTTACAGTGCAGTGACATCATTTTTCTAAGTGAGTGCTCTTCTCCTGAGCTATGAAGCACAGTCTAATCGCATATCTCCTATCAAGTGAATGATTTTAATTCTCAAATTCTTGAATGAGCCGTATTCCTCATTAACGAATTAAGAATTTGAGAGTTAGAATCATTCACTTGACAGGAGATATGCGATTAGACTGTCCTTTGTCACTCAGAAGAAGAGCATTGACTTAGAAAAATAATGTCACTGGGTTCGATTCTCGGTCGATGCACACATTTTCTTTCCAGAGTTTGTCGATCAAACTCTCTCACGCCGCAAAAATGTGTACACTAATTGACAAGAAGGAAGCATAAAACCGTCACTTTTTAGCAGAGTTAGATCGTATTAGACAAACTAATCATTATATTTGAATTTGCCCTTTTCTCTCCGCTCATAGGCTGCCCAAATGGTCTCGATCCTATTAAAATAGCCCGTGAAATGGCTGAGAAACACATCACACTGTATGCAGTTGGCGTCGGTAAGTGTCTTTAGAAGTTGCATTACTTTTTCCTCAATCGCTTTTGTCATCCTAGAACCGCCCATTGTTCCTTATCGCGATTTCTTCATGTCAATTGCCTATATAACCGGCGGTCAATATGTTCCCATGCAAAATGCAAAATTACTTGCACAAGTCATCATTGGCGGTGTTAAAGAAGAAATTTCAATTGAAAAATTGATGCAAGATGTCCAGGAGGATATCGAAAAAGAAATGAAACAAGCCGAGGCAGAAGGAGTAAATGAAGAAGAAATAGCAACACGAGTTAATCATATGCTGTTAGCAAAAAATATAAAGTCAAAGCAATTTCAAAGTCCAACAAGCATATCAGTGGCAGCCAAAGAACAGTATTCGAAATATAGTGATATGGGAGAATTGAGAAAAAATTACAAAATCGAACCAAGTTCATACTCGGCCCCTGGACGTAAGTATCTTTTTCAGTAAACAAAGAAGCCTCTTTTTTTTGTATTTTCAGATGCAACGAAAGATATGAGTTACTCACGGCGTGCGGCAAAAAGTAAACCAGCGTCATATATTGGTGGACTCCTGTCATCATTGACAGGCGAACAAAAGAAAACGACAGTGGAAGAGTCCGAGGATGCACCACCGACAGAAATGACATACGGTTTAAAAGAAGAACAAGATATAAGCATGGAACAAACAGAACGTATCGTACAAAAAATGAGAAGTCGAAAATAAACGAAAGATTAGTGTAGAAGATAAAATAACTGTTACTCAACGTTTTTCGGATTTCTTTATATTTTGTTTTAGTATCTCCTCTGAACAAATAAAACCCAGAAAAGATTTTTGGTTCCTAGTTTTTCTGATCCTTGCTCGGTGAACATTTGTTAAGGGTAGGAAGCCACTAATTGTTTGTTTTTTTGGTTGGATTACATAATAGTGAAAAGTGAGACTATTTAACTGTTATCTGCATGGCATTTATATTGGCTGTCAATTTGCACTACCGCCCTATCGACTTTGTAAAGTCAAACAGTTAAATAGTCTCACTTTTCACTATTATGTAGTTCAACCAAAAACACAACTAGTAGAAGCTGAATACAGATACATTAATGTATTAATGTAATATATATCTGGATGGCATTTATAGTGGCTGTCAACCTGGACCACTGCCACGTCGATCGTGCAGATTCACAGCCAAAACCAAACTCTCAGATGTTTAGACAGGAAATCGCTAATATTCCATCTTGGTCGGAACCGAAGGTTGCAAAGTCATGATAGTCGAAAACTCCTTTAAAAACTGTTTGCACTTTTCAGTTGGTACAACAGTATATCTTCGTTCAAAATTCAAAATATTCTTTTTATATACTACAACTTATTCAACTGAACGCAATATGCAATGGGTTGCCTTCCGATTTGTTGTTTAATAAATGAAAGTTTAGATTAAATTCAAAATCTCTATGCTATGATTATTTTATTGCACTGTCAGAAAACTATCTAAGGAATCAAGGTTGGTCGTTAAAGTAAGCAATTCTACTTAAATAAATTGTAAAGTAATGATAATCATTTCGGTAACATCTAATAAGGCTTTCGATTGGCACTTGCGTCATCACCAGTAAACCATAATAAAAGATGGGGTTCAGAAAACAGCAGAATGGAAAAAAGAAATGTACACACATATAGCCTAATTGATTTACAATCCCTCAGAAGCTATTTGTTGAGAAGTATAAGATTCTTTCCTATTTCTTTTTAACCTGCAGGGAAAAAGTATGCATGGTTTTAATTTATATGGAGGAAATATAAAATAATTTGAAGAGTTAAAAGGATCAATAGAGATATGTTTTTCACCTGTTGTATTAAATTAACAGCAAAACTATTGTTCTGTGTTACTTTATTGCATTACTAAGAGACTACACTTGCGTATAGGGTACCCCTCCCATCTTTTTTCACCCTCTTTGAAACCGGGGAAGCAGATGTTAGATCGGGGTGAAATTTATACCATAGGTAGAACGTCGAAAATGTAAATCGACACGGATGACAGTCTTTAAACTCATTAAGAGATGAAAAATACTACCGTCTTTTTTTAGACTGTGAAGCTGTTGTTACGAGTTCAAATGAGTGGCATGCCGTGATGAGAGTGAGTGGATACAACAACTACGGCACCCCCTATACTATGTTAGAGTATAACACTCATTTGAACTCGTACGAGTTCAAAACAGCTTCCTTAGGCTCCCGTATGCTAAATTAGAATATAACGCTCATTTGAACTCGTAACGACTAACGTTCGTTTAAACTCGTTACGACTCTAAAAGATGATCTTTCCTCTAAATGCACAGAGGCCGTTTCTCATCACGTTATGAGTAAGAATTTAACACGAAATAAAAAAAAAACGATGTGTTTTTGGCCAGAATTGTCTGAGACATTCTTCTATGGGTTTTCTGAAAAACTCCAATTTTCATCCAGTCACATTAGGATTCCTCGGAAAAATGGTCTGATCGAACTTAAAATTTTATCACAGATACTTCCGATCCTAGTTCCGATTCTTTTTTTTCTTTTCGAAAAATATGATTCCCTTCTCTAGATATTTGAAAAATACTAAAAAACCGGTTTTCATATTGAAAACCTTCTCACGTCGAAAGTTGAAATCGAAAACGCTTACGAAAAAAACTAACCCGCGATAGGGTCGGAAGTATTTGTGGTAACAATTTAAGCTCGATCTTCTTTCTTTCGGAATTTCTTCGAGGGGTCGTAATGTGACTGGATTGAAGGGACTATCGAGAAAACGCATAGTGAGAAAAACACATATTGTACATAGGCCTGTGTTTTTCCGGGCCATTTTGCAGTGATGCTTATATCTCCACAAAAACTCATCAGAAAATTCTGGGAGACACCTCATTTTGAAGAGCACACTTTCTTCTATCATGTTATGTATAAGAAGCAACTGTGAATATACAGGAAAGGAGAGAAAAATTTATGAACCTAAAAAATTGAGATTTTCTGTGCATTGAATGAAAAATTTAAAAACTTTATAATTTTTTCAAGGAAGGTCATAGAAAGCTGGGAGTGGTCTGATTTTCTAGCCCAGACTTTTCTCTACATTAGACTATGTTCAGCTCAAACTGAAAACGTTTCTGCAAAAAAGTGGGGAAGGGAGTAAAGCATTACCCTTAATTCTTTATTAAACGATAGAAATAATGCAGATCATACAAAAGAATAAGACAAGCTTTTTCGTTTTATTAAGTCCTCTCTGTACATATTTGGTATAGTATCTGTTAAGATTCTCCTGTGGAAACCTATGCAAAAATTAGAAACTTTGAGTTCCGCAAACTGCGAAAAAACTATAGGAACTAAACTTGACTACTTGGATGAGCTAACAAGAATGTAGTTTTTTCTGTGTTACATGCAGATGGTTTGTCCGCTTTTAGTTCGCCCTTAGCTGTTGCTACAGCTGACGTGTTAATTTTGATTTAAATAAGTTAACAATGAACCGTTCATAATGAGTGTCAGTGATGCCACATTTGGGTACATTTTTCTAAGTAGAGAAGGGAAATTATGAGAAACATATCAAAATTTGATGATTTTTTTCTAGAGAAGCGGTATTTGAGATTTTTACATATTCGGAATCAGCGCGATGAGTTACGTTGTACGGCGCAAAGATCTCGTCGGGGTACACGCAAAAATGGGGT